TGAACAGATCCAGGATGTTCCACCTCCAAAATATCTCTCAAAACCATTCTCTTGTCTCCATCTTTATCCCACTGCCATAGTTAAGATCCCCAATCTCCCAATCTTGCTTCCCTGCAAACTAGAGCTGAAATGATTCCTCCAAAACAACAACCTCGTCATGTCATTCACTGTCTCACTTAAAATCTTCCATATCGTTGCCATCAGGGTGTACTGAGACAGACTGGCTGTGCCTTTGCCTGCTTTGCCAACCTTATCTCCTGCTTTCTCCCACTTCTTTTACTTCTCAGTTTTTCTCAAAGTGTAGGCCTTGGACTGTCCCCAAGAGAGTCCACTCATTAATATTACAGATTCTTGGTCCCTGTCTGAGGTCCACAGAGTCAGAAACCATGGGGATGGGAGCCAGAAATCTGCATCATCAACAAGGTCTGGGACGATTCTCAGGTAACATCAGAGTTTGACAGCTGCCAGGAGCCTTTCCAAACCACTTCCTCAATGCCTCACCTTCTCTCTTCTCCCTGCCCCTGATGGGGTTCAGGATGTGCTACCCCAAAATATGGCACCTTGGCATTGGAGGAAACAGCAGAAACAGGTCATAGAAACTAGGAAGAATTCCCCTTGCCCCTTTTCCGCTGAAGTGGACCATGAAACCCAGCTGACCTTCCCTGAAAATAGGTCAGAAGACCTCATTCCAAAGGGGTCCTCCCTATAGTCAGAGGAAAAGAACATCTGTCCTTTTGCTCGGAGACACAGAGATGCAAAGAAGAATCTGAACAAATAGGTCTTGTGTAGTCCTCCCAGTGTATTACCGTTAGATCATACCCTCTGTCCTCCGATCATACTTTTGCACAACTGTCCATAAAAATACACAATTTTTCTTGTTTCTTTGGGTCTTTATTTCTGAAGGTTCCTGTGTCACATAAAACTTATATTAAATAAGTTTGTATGCTTTTCTCTTGTTAATCTGTTTTAGGGGTCTCAGACATGAATTCTGTCATGGATGAGGAAAAGACATTACTTCTTGGCCAGGTGTGGTGGCTCACACCTGTAATATGAGCAATTTGGGAGAACAAAACAGGAGAATCACTCAAGGCCAGGTGTTGGAGACCAGCCTGTGTAACACAGCAAGATCCTGACTCTAGAAAAGTAAAAAAAATTAGCCAGGCACCGTGGCACATGCCATAGTCCTAGCTACTCAGGAGGCTGAGGTGGAAGGTTCACTTGAGTTCATGAGTTTGAGGTTGCAGCAAGCTGTGATCATGCAACTGCACTCCCGTTTGGATGACAGAGCAAGACCTTGTCTCAAAAAAAACACAAAAACATATATCACTTTTCCCCTTATACCTCTCTTTGTGCTATGTGCCCTGTGCACACACGTCTTTGCCTGGCTCAGTTTGGACTGTGCTTCTGGAATAGTCTAAATCCTTCTCAAGAGTCACCTATGGCCAGTCTTTCCTGACTCCTCTAGGCTGGCTGAAAAGCTAGCCTTTGCAATGCCCTTGTTGCAGAGTACTGCTACTTGTTATTGTTGCTGCTGTTTACTTATCTGTTGCACCACCAGGCAAGATGTTTACAAATGGAAACTGTCTTCCATCTGTTTCTAGAGCTTGACAGAGTGCTGGGAATGTAGTAATCTCTAATAAGTATGTATGAATATGTGAATAAAAAATACACAATTTCCAGGCCGGGCGCGGTAGCTCACGCCTGTAATCATAGCACTCTGGGAGGCTGAGGTGGGAGGATGGCTCAAGGTCAGGAGTTTGAAACCAGCCTGAGCAAGAGTGAGACCCCCATCTCTACTAAAAATAGAAAGAAATTAATTGGCCAGCTAAAAATATATAGAAAAAATTAGCCAGGCATGTGGCCGCCCATGTTAGTCCGCAGCACTCCGGCGCGAAGCTGAGCCGAGATTGCTGACCCCGGAGTGAGTTGCTGTTGGCCTAGGGATTATCATACGCACTCTAGGCCCGGGGCCACATAGAGTCGAGACTCGCTCAAAAAGAAACGTACACATTTCCAGATCTTTGTAGGAAAACATAATCGATACACAAAAGGAAAAGTTTACAAATCGGCTTCTTAAACTCAGGAATTCGCTTCCCTACGAGCGAGTCATTGGTTGTGACTCATAGCATCAATGATTCCAAAGGTACCCCAGCTATCACTGGGAGACTTGCAGTTGTTCCTAGCGACGACCAATACCCTATTCTCTGCGCTTTGCCTCACACGTTTACTTCGCGCACGCGACTACACTAGAGCAGACTTATGAATGAAACCAAACAAGTAAGACTAAAGAAAAAAGCTGGAATCTGGACTTGACACCGTGTATTTCAAAATCCAGACTCCGCCAACGCACAGCGGCCTGTGACTTTGAGGCAACGTTTAATTTCTCCCGAGTCGTTTCTCATTATGTGATCAAAAGGACTTCTGCGACAAATGTACAAAGTGACAAATAATAATAACACTACAAACAGGAAAAAAAGCATTGCGGTCACCACGCTGTGTCACAAGCTACTCAGAGAATGGGAACGGGAAGACTCACTGGCCAGGAGTTTGATTGCACCTGGGAACATCAGACATCACATGAATAGCATCGCACTACAAAGCACTAGAGCCAGCAAATAGAAACCATCTCAATAAAAAAAAAGAGATATGCACTCTAAGTCTATAACAAAATCAGACAACAGGCAGAAAGTAGCTGAAAAAATTCTTATTCTCTTTCCTTTATAGTAAGAAAGAAAGATTGTTACTGAGTTTCTGTTGTATGTCAAGTATTTTATTGGTTATTGAGGATGGAAGAGGAATGTAATATATATATATATACATGTGTATATATATATATAAATATATATTTATAGAGAGAGAATATATACTCTCTAATTCAAGAGATAGTGTTTTGAAAGAGCTTACAATGTATTGGGCATTATAAATAAACTAATAAACCAATTTTATCAACTTTTCTAGAAAAAAGAATTCAACTACAAGGAGACTGCTAGTTGACCTCCAAAATCCATCCTCTCCTTATCCTACAGTAGTAAAACCCCTAATTTTAAGCCAAGTACATGGCTACCTGGAATAAAGATTACATTTCCCAGCCTTCCTCACAGTTACATGTGACTGTATGTCTTAGTTGTGGCTAATGCAGTATGAATATAATGTGAGAAAATTCCAGAAAGCATCCTTAAAGAAAAGATGCTCTTCTCCTTCCATTTTCTCCCTTGTGCTGATAGATCGTGGATGTGATAGTTGGAATTAGGGAAGTCATTTGGAGCCACAGTGTAGAAGCTGTGTGTTAAGGATGGGGAAGCAGTGAAACTCAAGGAGCTTTAGTCCCTGATGGTCCCACGATGCCATCATTTCAGCCATAAAGTGCCTGTGTTTATTTGAGAGAAAAATACATTTTAATCCACTGTTGTTTGGGGCTTGCTATCATTCACAGCTGAAGATAATCCTAACTAATACAAACTCATACTAACTTATAAAACTTCAAGCTGTCTTTGAGTTTTTCATGGAGAAAGGCTTATGTCATAATGATAAGTGAAAACAATGCAGGAGACAACATTGTAAATGCAAAAAACATAGGAGATGCATAGAAAGAAAATATACTAAAGTATTAACCTGTTGGTTTAGGATAATAGAATAATTGGTAGATTTTTTTCCAGTTTCGTATTTCTCTGTTTCACCCAATTTTTTACTTAAAAATGTGTATTTTCAATCTTTTTGAGTGGATATACGTTTCAGCTCCATTAGTAATAACCACTGTACACATCTAGTGTTTTTATTAATTATGTAGTTGTACAAACTTTGCATTATTTCCTGTATCTGTATGAAACAATAGCAACGTGATTAAGAGCATGACTCTTGACTCAGCCAGTCCTGGGTTTGGTACTGCTTTCTGCCTATTTGAATTTAGGCAAGTTACTTCTCTGGGCCCCAGTTTCTTCATCTGTAAATCGGGTATAGTAATTTTACCTATTTCATAGGATTATGGCCTGAATTAGATAAGATAATGGATATAAAAAGCACTTAGCATCATGCATACAGTAAGCAGTCAATAGATCCTGCATAATATTTTTATTATGTCTGTTAATATTTCTGTGTTGATAGCATCTACTTGCTGGCATTTTCACTAGCTACATAAAGTGAGTATTTTATAGCTTGCTTAGCTAGGCCTTTACTACTAGAAATGGATGTTGTTTTCAATTTTTTATTAGTAGATGAGATAGACTCTAATTATCCAAGAGAAGAGGCTCTCCCAGGCCAGAGGGTCATGAATAAAAGCTAAGGTGACAATCTATAATCTGATGATAAGAAAATCAGGACTGTTTCAGAAAATCTGGAATAATATTATTGCTAACAATTTAGCAAGTGGTTAAAAACAAATGGCATAGTGTTCCAATACATATTTATTAATTTGTTTTAAATCAGAAATAGTTTCAGTGAAACAAAAAAACCGTCTATTTTCAGAGAAGTAAGATAATAGGCCGGAGAAGTGCGTGTATGTGTTTGTGCGTGTGTGTGTGTTGAGAAGGGTGGAACGATTACTGAGGGAGGGTCTTGAGGGGTAGTGTGAAGAGTTAGGATTAAATACAAAAAAATGTTCTGGAATGAATATGAATTCAATCAGTAAGTTTTTTAGTTTTTTCTAATGTTCCCCTCAGGGTGGTCAAGTGTTTATTTTCATTGGAAATTATATTAACAGAAGTGTAAAGTAATACATGCTCAATGATGAAAGCAAAACCATAAAAGAAATCTCAAGAGGGCTAAAAGTAACACAAGGAAGAAATCAGCATGTATTCTTTTAAACAATGGAAAGAATTCCCATTCATTTTTAATTAAATACTAATAAAGTCCTGCTTCCCACAAAGGGATAAATAAATCTGTTACTACTCTCATTAAGAGATAATGTAGATAATTGGAGAACTATGCTTACTTGTTTTAACCAGATCCTAAAATAAATTAGTAATGTTCACCCCATATTCCATATGCCTCCATATACTTTCTAGCTTCCTTGGCAGGTGTTGGCAATGTGACAAGTCCAATGTGACTGTGAGCAGAAGTGAGACGTGTGCCCCCGTCCTGTCTGAGATTGAGTACCAGGACTACACACTGAGATGGTGGTGTTACCAGAGATGGAGCCTACATTCTTGAATCACTAAATGGAAGAGCTTTGCCAACCTTCTATGGACTTTGAGTGATTAAGAAATAAACTTTTGGCTGGGCGCGGTGGCTCATGCCTGTAATGCTAGTACTCTGGGAGGCCAAGGCGGGCGGATTGCTCGAGGTCAGGAGTTCAAAACCAGCCTGAGCAAGAGTGACACCCTGTCTCTACTATAAAAATAGAAAGAAATTAATTGGCCAACTAATATATATAGAAAAAATTAGCCGGGCATGGTGGCGCATGCTACCAGAGGCTACTCAGGAGGCTGAGGCAGAAGGATTGCTTGAGCCCAGGAGTTGCTGTGAACTAGGCTGATGCCAGGGCACTCACTCTAGCCTGGCAACAAAGTGAGACTCTGTCTCAAAAAAAAAGAAAGAAGCATTTGTTGTGTTAAGTCACTGCATTAGTTTGCAAGGGCTGCTATAACAAAACAACACAGACTAGTTGGCTTAAACAACAGACATTTATTTTCTTACTAGGCTAGAAGTCCAAGATTAAGGTGTCTGGCAGGTGTAGTTTCTTATGAGGCCTGCCTCTGGCTTGCAGATGGCCACCTTCTTGTCATGTTTTCACATGGCCTTTTCTGGTGCACATGGGTCTCTGGCATCCCTTCCTCTTTTTGTAGAGACACCAGTCACATGGGATTAGGGCCTAATGTCCTCATTTCAACTTACCTTTATAAGGACCTCCCCAAATAAAGTTATATTCCGAGGTACTGGAGTTTGAAACCTCAGCATATGAATATGGGGAGGGCACAAGTCCATCACAGTCACTGAGATTTGGGGAATTTATTTTATGATCATAGCATGACATAGCTTATCCTGATAAATACAGTTTTCCTGGGAATAGGAATCAAAATATATAAATTGTGTATGTGTGCATGTGTGGAAAAGAGATATACCGGAATGTCATAGCCTGTGAATGAGTCACAAGATGACATGATATTGTCCCCCTTATCCTGTAGAAGAGCTGAGTAGGTCCTGGACAATGAAAGCCTCTGGACTATTCAACCCAGGTCATGAGCAATCTCTTCTGGTTGTGCCATGCAGATATTATTTTCTATGCATGCAATGGTTTAAAAAGGATTAAAAAGATTTTTACTCACTATGAATAGTTTCTATCATGTCAATATGTATTTATTGTATGAATTTCCCCCTTTTAAGGAGTACAGAGAAAATTTATTGAGAACTTAATTCAGTGCCAAGCAGTGTTATAAATATTAACACATTGTTCTAAGATAGTACATAAAACTCTACATGTATTAACTCATTATGTCCTCAAAATAACCCTACAAAATGGGTACTATTATAATCCATTTTACAGATGAGGACAGTAAGGCACAGGTGGATTACAGACTTGCTCAAGATTACACAGATGGCAAATGGTAAAGCCAAAAATTGAACCCAGGCAGCCCGACTTTAGTCCTTCTGCAGGTAGCACTTATAGCCTTTGCTAATTTCAAGCAAAAATGTTTCTAATCTATAAATTTGCATGATTGGATTTTGTAATTTGCTTTTTTCTCCTTATGTCAGGCATGCAGTGGTTGACTCATGTTTTCTTTGATACCTTTGAAAAATGACTGTTTTGATTTGGAAACCAGTTAAAATCCTTGCTCTGAGAAATGGTGTATTCTAAAACATGAGTAAACACAGTATGAGCTGGGGATTAGTGCTTTAATTCCAACCAGTTCAATTCAGCTAAGAATTTGTTGAGTAACTACTATATGCCAGGCTCTCTGTTGTATGCTAGGGATATAATAGAGGTGCTATTCCTTGCCTCATAATACCAAGCCACCACTACTGAGGGGTTTATGTTATTTTCCTCAGGTATATTAGTGAAGAAAAAGAGATTAGTACCATGGTGGTTTTTATAGACAGAGTCTTGTTCTATTGCCCAGGCTGGAGTACAGTGGTATGATCATAGTTCACTACAGCCTTGAACTCCTAGGCTCAAGTGATCCTCCTGCCTCAGCTTCTCCAGTAGCTGGGACTACAGGTATGTGCCACCACACCCAGCTAATTTTTAAAATTTTTGTAGAGATGGGGGTCTTGCTATGTTGCCCAGGCTGGTCTTGAACTCCTAGCCTCAAGTGATCCTCTTGCCTTGGCTTCCCAACATGCTGGGATTGCAGGAGAGAGCCACTGCACCTGGCTTTTGAAATTTTTTCAGAGGTGGGGGTTCCATTATGTTGCCCAAGCTGATCTTGAATTCCCAGCCTCAAGGCAATCCTCCTGCCTCAGCCTCCCAAGTAGCTGGGATAATAGGCATGAGTCACCGGGCCCAGCCTAAGCTATTAAGGAGGAATTTAGAAATTAAAACTGATAATTTAATAATATTCACACATTTAAAATATTAATAAACCCATCATATGGTAATGATAATAATATATTTTATGAAAAATAATTATTTCCAGGCCAAGTGCGATGGCTCACACCTGTAATCCTAGCACTCTGGGAGGCCAAGATGGGAAGATCTCTTGAGTTCAGGAGGTCAAGCCAACCTGAGTCCTGAGCAAGAGTGAGATCCTGTCTCTACCAAAAATAGAAAAATTAGCCAGGCGTGGTTGCATGCGCCTGTAGTCCCAGCACTCTGGAGGCTGGGGCAGGAGGATTGCTTGAGCCCAGGAGTTTGAGGTTGCTGTGAGTTAGGCTGACACAATGACACTCTAGCTCAGGGATTGACGACGTAACGCTCTTTGCTCAAAAAAAAGAAAAACAAAAGTCCGAAAAAAAATAAACTTAGTTTGATCGAGCAAGTGCTGCATGGTTTTCTCTGCTTCTTCTTCCTCCCTCTTTTTTTTGGCTAAATCTCTATATACTTATTACTCGGGATACTAGCGAGACAGGTGAATTTACCATTGCATCTCCTGTTCAATCGTTTCCTGATGATATGTTTAGTGACAGATTACAGTGATGAAAATCTGGCTTCATGCAGGTAATTGGAAAAGGAGGAGGATTTTAATAGTCAATTCAGATAATGATGGATATTCTTCTTTTATATTACACCAAACTTGACAAGATGTAATTTCTCAAAAGTTAGTTGCAATCTGAGATCTGATCTTTATATACTCCGTTATATTAAAATCAATCTGTCTGTCTTATGCTTTGAATGAATATTTTACCCATGCATGATTTTATAATATCATGCATTGTTCATTCAGGAAATAATGGTTTATTGAGTTATGCAGATCTTCCCAATGTTGATGCATTTCATTACACAAAATCCCAAAAAAATCACATTCATTAGTATCACTACTTACCTCATTGGAAAGGTCTTTAAATACTGGGAAGCTGTCAAGTTCACAGTGGCCAGACACAAGTTTTCTAAATTTCTATTTTTCACTTCGCTCAAATTTTATCACTGGCAACAAATACTGTCAACTGTTTTCTTTGAAATGACAGGCCCACCTTCATTTTTGAGACAATGTCTGCCAAATGCCCAAGTATAAGTAACTGTAATTTGTCTATCAGCCATTGTTTTAAGTCAAAATGGTGTTCTAGGCCAGGTGTGCTGGTTTATATCTGTAATCCAGCACTTTGGGAGGCCAAGGCAGGAGGATCTTTTGAAGCCAAGAGTTCAGGACCAGGCTGGGCAACATAGCAATATCCTGTTTCTACAAAATAAATTAAAAAAAATAAAAAAAAAAAGGTGTTCCATGAATTAAACAGTTAGTTCACCTTGCAACTCAAACCACAGGTGCTTGTCCTCAAGATAAGCCCCTATTTCAGTGTGCAGCATAAGGGCTTGATGTGTTTCCCATTTTGTCACACAGAATATTAACAGGATGTGTACTCAAGGATTAAGATTTAACAAAATTAAGAATTTTTACTGCTTCCCCAAGGACATTTTCAAGTGAAACTGGCATTTTAAATTTAATTAATTAATTTTATTTATTTACTACTAATGCTTGGCAGTGAAAAATGTAATGACTATTATTACGATTTGGTATAGCTGCCTTCATCTGTGCTAAGACACCAGCAGTTTTACCCATCATTGCTTTGGTGCCGTTAGTGTTAATGTCAGCACAATGGAAAAGGCAAATAATGTCTTAGTATTAGAAGAATACTAAGGTATTAGAAGAATACCTTTGACTTCATGGATTTCCTGAAAGTATTTTGGTGACCCCCCAGGGAGATGCAGACCATAGTTTGAGAACTAGCATCATATTAATAGAAAACAAACATATTTCCTCACAAAGACTCTTTGATATCTGAAATAGAATGCTGGGGTAAATCATTGATTATAATATAGGCCCTTTTGCCAGGATAACTACTATAACATCACAGATGTGAGAAAACAAAAGGATTTAGAGCTAATTTAGCATTTGTAATAAATATGCTTAAAAAACAAACTTAGGTCCAAAAGTTTAGACATTTTAAAGTTAGATTAGTTATTTCTATCTTTGTTTTTTCAGCATTAGAAGATCTATGAGTGAGATCTCTTTCTCTCTCTGTTACTTATTCTCTAAAAAATGTTAATGAGAAAGGATCTGAATAAACATTTCTACAAAGAAGATATATGAATGGCTAATAAGCATACAAAAAGATGGTCACCACCACTAATCATCAGGGAAATGCAAATCAAAGCTACAATAAAATACCACTTCCTTCCCACTGGGGTGGCTCAAAATCATAAAGTCAGATGGCAACAAGTTTTGGTGAGGATGTAAGAAATTGGAACCCTCACACACTGCAGGTGGGGATCCATAATGGTTCAGCTACTTTGGAAAAGAGTCTGGCAGTTCCTCAAACAATTAAACATGGAGTTACCATATGATCCAGCAATTCCACGCCTCGGTATATACTCAAAAGAAAGGAAAACACATGTCCACACAGAAACTTGTTTACAAATGTTTAGAGTAGCATTATTCATAGAAGGCAAAATGTAAAAACAACCCAGATGCCCATCAACAGACAAATGGAGGAAGAAAGTTTGGTATATCCATTCAATGGACTATATTATTCAACCACAAAAAGG